TTTACCGTTGCTGCAATGTTGTAACGACGTTGCAGCAACATTTTGCAACGTTTTTGCAACATTGCAATCTTGCAAGGAAAGATTGCTACAATTTTGCTGCAATCGTTCTGTGCTGTATGGGTAATCGTAATGAGATGTAAATCAAAAACAGGTCTTCGGTTTGTTTAAATCATTACGTAAAATAATGTAAATCATAAATTTTGATATTTATTACGTTTAAATTAACATGTAATGTTAATTTGATGAAAATTTGATTCAGATTCGATTCGATTCGTTTCGATTCGATCATGCAAATGCTTGATTCGCACACCTCTATTTCTTTCATAAAATATGAAAACATGTTATGCAAAATCACGTAATGATAAAAATGCGAAACAGCCTTGTATATCTACGTCGAGGTTTTATTTCTTCATATATGCATATGTTTCGCCTCATTCGCGTAATTCTCCTCGATACGCCGGGATTAAGTTATATATGTAAAGGAATAACTCACCACCACTTCCGAGGATAATAATAATTGGAGTTAAATAGTACGATGAAGCCGTCAGTGCGACGAACGTCATCAACAGTTTGACGAAGATCTTAGACCTGGCGTTGTAGGTCAAGAATATCTTCATCTCCTCGACATTTTTGTAACTCGTCCTATCGAAATCTTTCATGGCCTCCGTTATGACCTCGCCAATTTGATCGTTGTACAACCGTAGCATGGTCATTCGTACGAATATCTGCGAAAACGCCATGTTCTCCGTCAAATTCATGATCACGTGCTCGAGATCACCGATGTAGAGAAAGAGGTCCAGATACTCCAGAATCATGAGGAAACTGAAGTAGCCGAAGTTAATCGAGAAGATAAAATCATTGGGTCGAAAAGGCCAGAGGCCCAGCGTCAACATTAGCCGTTTGTTCCAAGACAACACTTGGGCCGCGCAATCCAAGTCTTTTTGTTCCTGAGAAAAATATTATAAAGGCCCACCTACATAAGTCGCAAACGCAAAACGCAAAC